TGCGGTCCCTCCTCCTTTTTTTTCTTTCTCGCACGGCCACGTATTTACTTTTGTGATGATAAAACAATGAATGTAGGCCGCCGTTGTATCTGTCCCCGACGTCGCGGGGTTCTGGGGAAAAAATGGAAATTCCTTTTTGCCGCGATATGGTTGCGCGTGAGAGGACTACCGTGTACAATGCGCCGCGGTACACGGGCCGGCGAGGCACAATTATATCCAATTCTCTTTCGCGAGGAAATCGTTAATTCCAGAAATTTAATCTGGCCCTTTTAAACGCCGCTTTTCTTGTTCCTTTTCGGTTTTCCAGCGGTGTCTTTCCTTCTATGGTGCGATTCCGGTGGAACATTCCAGTTGCGCGTCTCGACGCGATTTCGGTGGCCGCGTACCGTCGAAGGTAAATATTTCGCTGGTATCCCTGATATCTGCCGAAGACACGATTCGTTCACGGTAGAACCTTTGCGCTCGCGATTTGTTGTGCTTACAGGCGAACCTTGTCTGTTGCGAGGAAGCGATGGTAAGAGTAAATAAAGTAACGCTCGTGGAAGTGGAAACATGGATTTCAACGTTCACGCGTTTTCTAGGATGCATCTTGGAATGGTTCTCGATAGATTATTTCGGTTCAATTTTTAAGCAGTCGATCAGCGGCAAACGATTAGAAAAATTGTTTGAAAATATTTTTAGCGCCGAAATAATTGTACCTAAGCGAAGAATGTCGAGCCAATTTCATGTGATTTATTAAGGTTTGAGAAAAAAATCATAAAGAGAAATAAGAATGATATTTGGAAAATTCAGAAAGGAACTTATTATGAATAAAGGGAAAATGAATTAATGTCAATTATATTTCAATATTTGTTGAAAATCATGCTAATAATATTTATTCAAAATCATTAGGAGTAATGGAAAAACCAGTTTTCTTTTACAAACAATATTTTCGAATAAGAAGAATCATCGTCTGATCATAGTTTGATGGAGAACATGTAGTATAAAGCATAAGTACTGCAGTTTCAATAAATTGTAATAAAAGTACTTGTAACAATAACTGCAAAATTATTTGGAGCAAATTCCCCATGACAAATTTCTATCTTATCGTTCTAGCGTATACACAGTTTCGGTATCAATCATCGTGGAATATAACACAAGGTTAAACCTATAAACAATTTTTTCAATTCATGGAATATCTCACATAGGAAGAGGAATTCAACCACTTATAACATTTTATGAATTATTAATTATTATAAGTTATTAACAGTAAATAACGAATAGTGAGGCACCACTGCATACGCAACGATACATCGTTGTTCGGCACTAAAAGGGTTAAGAACGTTGCCTTGGAATCAATATGCAAAAGTCATGTAATTCGCTGTAGCGAGATTACAATGTGGGATACGTTCCTTGTCGAAATGAATATGTTAATGCAATCATCGGGTCGTAACTCTGCCATAACAAGAAGGAGTTGGGATTTCGTGTGTACTTAATTGGTTATCTCAAGAGTTGTAGTGTATGCGAGGAAAGAGGTTCTGCTGTAATCAATTAATAAAATGAATCTACTTTTACAGGCCTTAAGGAAAAGGAACTAGAAAAGAGCGCTACGTTTCAGATTTTAAACTATTTACAAATCATTACATTAAAAACAAAATATTTATACTTTGTCTGTTATTCATGATACCCAACAATCTAATATATTATCTTCATACGATGGAAGCACTCTATTGGATTATTAAGAAAGGATTTACTGAAAAACAACAATAATCATGACAACGTATCTTTATTACGATAGAAGCACAAGAATGAGTAACTAAATAAACATATCAAGCAGTATACTTCTTATCATAGTTTACAGTGTTCACATCATTGTAAACTCCACAGCTTGGATACTTACGCGTAACTGTAAATGGACGAGTCAACTGGAGTATTAAGGGTAATAGATGGAAATGAAAAATGTATCTCGAATACAACAAACATATTCGAAGAAAGGATTGAAAGAAATGTCTGACTCTCGAAACGCGTTCCTGAAGGGAAATATCGCGTATCACTGGCTATATACATAGTATGTACACAGACATATAGCAGAGATGCTGCTCTTGGCCCGAGCAAAATCTCAGCCCGCAGGAATGACAATAGACTGTCAGATAATGAATCCCCGCTGTCACCCCCTTTACCATCCCACGCCCTAAAACCCACCCTCTGTCGAGCTCTCTCTTTTTCCCAGTATCCCATCCTCGCCCTCGACGCCTCTCCCTCTCTCACTCCCTTTCTCTCTCTCTCTCTTTTCCTCTCGGCAGCGACAGCTTCGAAACTGGCAACTTTCACTCACTAAAGTACAAATTCTTTGGTAGCCCCGATGCCACGGAAAATTAGACTAATCGAATTGAATGAAACCGAATAATATTCGCGTCAATTACCTCTCTGATAAAAATAAAATGATCTTGCGAATAATCCGATGTAAGCATAAATTAAGGCGTTTAAGACATGAATGGGGAAATGAAAAATATCATGTAAAAATTAGCATCGGTCATTGCTTTGTCGCGTGATCGCTGTTCTGAAATTTATGAGTCTTGATTTTCGAATAACAAACATTACATTAATGCCAATTGCAATTGAATTTAATATTGTAGATGTGTCATTAATGATTCTGTTCTTTTTAATTTATAAATGTCTACGTTCGCTAAATGTTATTAACGGGTTTGCACGAGTTGGTAAATGGAAAAAATAAACTGTAACGTGACTTTTACTTGCAGCACAGTTGTATCTATCGCTAACTGCACCCCTTGTACTTTCCACCCTCTGCTCTTGTAGCAAACAGGACTATGACCGAGTAGGCGAGGCGTCCACTTAGCGCTAATGCCCCTTTTATTGGTCAAGATTCCAGTCAAAAGCTGAATAGATGCCCGACTAGCTCGTTCTTCCACATCGGTTTCCACGAAAAATTAAACGGAACCGTCGATACCGACTCCGCTTGCAAATATTGCGATTATCGCAATTTCCTATAAAGTTTGGTTTAACCGATCAATTGTGGATCCCTAAAGACGAATCTATACTGCCTTTAGACTTCTCTTTATTTTCATTATAACAAGCGATTTCAAAATCAATTTTTAACACTTTAGTATTTATATCGCTGCATCGTTTTTACGTATAATCTTTGTATACACGATTTTATTTATTTATATAATTTAAATGCTTTTAAAACGTGTATTTTTAAACATCTATTGAACTTCTAAAAATGTTATTAGAATTTGAATATTATGAATTAAATAATGAAATACAACAAACATTTGGCATGAAATAGAATTAATTGCAAAACGTAATCGATCATCGGATTACAATTAAGTGTTTAATATACTTTCAAATTTGTTATATAATGATGATTGATATTCTATTTTCTCGGAGTCCTTCATCACATTTGAACTAACGAACCAAATGATGGATCATTACTTCCAGATAATTTTCAATGGAGATCTAGTAATTATATCTTCTTCGGATTAAACAAATTAGACAACAAACAGGGCGTAAGATTCTTTTGTCATAAATTTTCATTATCGTTACGAAAGTCATTTATAATCAACACGCACATCTACAAAAATAATTCGCTTGTTTGAGTACAATTAATATATCCGGAGATTTTAATGAACAAGTATAATCTATAGCTAATTTCATCATAGTATGCATAAATTCCCGATTCCAAGATTTTTTTTGCTTTTTCTCTCTTTTTGAAACGAATGGAGCAAAGCCTGCAAAAAGAATTGGAACGTGAGATGTAAAATATCGAACCGAATGTTGAAGCCGAGTGAGAGACCGAGCCGAAAAAAAATTTCCCCTGGAATAACTCGAGGCAGAAAAAGTGAACAAAAAATTTCCATAAAAATGCACCCGCACGTATAATCCGGATGAAGCTTAGCATTTTGTGAAATAGTATGTTACCAATGGAAAATGGCTGAAAAAGCATGGAATTACACATAGTGTGTAGAGAAAATGACAATCGAAGATTGTAAAAACTTACGTCTGTAGTATCATTTGGCTAATTTCATTTGCAGTAAACGCGATCAAACCAAACACAAAACAAGTTTCAACATACAATTTATTATCAATTTCTTTCGTAAATTATAAGAGCGTAAGTTTTTATGCAAATACAACACATTAAATCTAACAAGTAATTTAAACATAAAAGACGTATGAACAAATTATTAGGTCTACCGAAAAGTTCTGTCCGTTTTTTAATTAAAAGAAAATACATTTTCAATACATTCATTAATATTTATTGAAAAATATAATTTCCATCGTTACTAATGACCTCTTTTCAGTATGATGGTAAACTGTAGATTCTATTTCTGTAGAATGACTCATCTTTGAAAACAACTTTCCGGTAGACACAATATTTTATAGAAACTTATAACATGGGGTGTGAATTCCACAGAATTTGGGAAAGGTATTGAAATAGTAAAATAGTGTATTTTATTTTGTCGAGTAAGGATGAAACATTCTGTGAAAATATACTTATTTTATTACTTACTTTGATACATTTATAGTAATTCGTATATAAATATGACTTACATTTAGGACCTGAAATTTTTGTTCTTGTAGTTTACAGTTCTATTTCAGTCTCATAGAAAGAGTAGCTTGATCATCTCTTAATTTTAACTTCTACAAAGGTATTATACTCGATTAAACATTATTATTTCTAAAGTAAATAACTCATTGTTTAAAATATTTTGATACCTTTGATTTAATGAAATATTAAGGAAATCATTAATTTCAACAAGTATACTGTAAAATATATTTATTACAAAACGATTAAAATAACGTGTATCTTACTCACTGACCTATTTTAACATAAAGTTTTCACAAAACCTGGAAGATAATGCTCACTACCACGTTTTTATATTGGAAGTAGTACTGCAGCAGCTTTATCTCTAAACTTTACTGCAATATTATTTCTTATTTGTGAAATAATTATTGCCCAAGAAATTCATAAAAAAAACAATATTTTTGGAAATTATGTGCCCAAGTAAAAGACTTAAATCATAAATGAAAATGCACTGTATAGAAAAAGTATGAGCATAACTATGTTTCCCCTGTATGCTCTAAAAAAGTCACTTAAGAAATTGATTTATATGTTTAGAAATTGAATGTGATATATAATATCATGAGATCTTAAGCTTTAACAATTATACATCAGTCTTGAGACTGTTAACTAATCAGTTATGTAAAATAATTAATAGCGGTAAATTAAGTTTTGTAGATCACAATGTTTCAGTTTTTACGTTCAACAAAATTATTCTGTAGTTTAGGCATTTTCACTAGCCGGCCTCTTCTTATTCTAAAAAAAAAAGAATATTTATTTTTTGTTATTAAATAGAACATCAAAGATTATGCTATATTGATTATTCATCTTAAAATAAACCTTACAGTTTGCTTGGATGGTTTGACATCTGCACTAGAAGTACGTGTTTTGGACCTTTCTTGTTCTAATTGCGCATGTAAAGATGCTACTTCTGATGTTAATTCGTCTCTTATTTCTTGTAATTTAGCTACTTCTGCTAACACTGACGCCTTATCTTTCACTAAGAAATAAAAGTAACACTATGAATTACATTCACAAATGTTTATGGCTAATTAAACAGTATCAACTTACTTTCTCCATGAGATAATATTTGATATAGCTTTTTGTTCCTTTCTTTAACTTGAGTCAACTCCTTCTTCAAATTTTCAACTTCAGTTCTTAATTCATTTATAATTTCATCACGTTTTTCCACTTCTACCCTCAACTGAGCAGAAGTGATTTCATCGTCAATTCGTTTTAATCTTGTTCTCAATATATCCTTCTCCTTTTCTTTTGTTATTTCCTTTTTTGTTTCCTTTTCTACCGCATCAAAAAATTCTTTATCCAAATCTGTAAGATTCTCATGTATTACTTATTTGCTTTCATAAGAATTTTGTTTATAGAAAGTCCAAATAATAATAAAATATTACCTTTAGGTTTTGAATCCCCACAGTCTGAAGGTATGACCGTAATTTGTACATTATTTGATCCCATGCTATTGAATTCTTCCAACGACATAGTAGCCTTTTTAGACTTTTTTCCTGATTTCTTATTTGGTTCTTGTTCTTTTTCTGACTTACCCACGCTTACTAGCTGCTCTTCATAAGCAAGCTTTGACAGCAAAATGGCTTGATGCAACTCTTGCTCAAACGTTTCCTCGATAGCCTTAAGGAAATCACAATTGGATATGATAACACACAACACTTATAAATATGTCACTACTGAAACAAAATCTTAGCTTTAACAATTTATATCTGGAACTAAACTATGATTTTCACAAATATTAGTCAAGCCTATGCTGTCCTTAGTATTGTCATTCCATTAATATGCAAAATTAATTTACAAAGCCAGTGACAAATAAACTTGACAAAATTACATATACTGTATACATACCATTGTATCTTTTTCTTTCCACTGTTCCCATTGTTGGTTTTCATTATTATTCTTGTTAGGTTTTTTCTTTTTCCCCTGTAAATTAATTATAAATATTGTAGCTCAACATAAATACAAGTAAATAAACTTATTTTGAATTACTTTAAAAATTTGTTATTCACTGTCAAAACATACGTTGAATTTACATGATATTATAACAGTTGTATTTTTTCCATATCTTAAATACAGTGAAAATTCATAAAGATC